TGCTGCACTCTTTTAAAATAAGGAACGACAAAAGGTGGGGAACTCCAGTGATTGGGGTTACATAAAACTCCAAAAAGAGAAACATGGTACATGTTATATATTATATGAAATCACCAATGGCTAACAGAAAAGGAAACTGATGAGGCACAACAAAAATGTGAGGACAAAGTGAATCACATTTGATTTTTTTAAAGAAACGTAGATTGCCTAGCTGGCTTCTAAAATACAATATCACCTATTTTCCTCTGTACCCTATGAGATTAACTTCATTGATTAAGAAGTCAACATAACATCTATCTCTTATATTTGTTGATATTTATCATGCTTATTAAAGCAATGTTTTTCCACTTTGGTGGGGAGGAGGGGGGAGTTGATTTTCAAGACTCATGAAAATCTGCCCCAATGCAAGGCAATGGCTGTGGGTGTTGGACAGCCCTGACCCATGCACAGAGGATCACTCACAGTTCCTGCTCCTCACACTATTACTCAGCCCACAGCACCCCCTGACGGACCTAAATCCACTCTCTGGTTCCTGCATTAATACCCCATGTAGCCCAGCACCGATGGGACGCTCCTTGCCAGGGGATTCATCAACATTGTGAGTGTCTCAATGCTTTCTTGCACATGAAAAGAAGTTTTAAAATATTTATTTATATAACATACATTTGCATAACTTAAATTATATTAGTGCACCGTCTACTGAACTTGGTGTTCTACCTGTCAGAGAAAACACACAAGGTAATAGCAAAATTACATTCTTCAAGTCAACCAAAACTTGGGGATGCACCAGAGAATTGTGCAAAGAGCACACACACACATTTTCTGTGTGCCAACAGCAAACCACTAAGTGTGGAATAAGCTTAATGAGAAACAATGAAACTGTGGAAAAGAGGTCCTTAGATAAAGAAGAGATACAAGAGTAAATACTACAAGCAAAGGGCAACTGAAAACAGGACTGGACTAGAGGGGATACACCTTGGAAAAAGATGAACATTACTATGGGTATGTGTGCACGCAGGCTCTGAGATGCCATGCATTCTTTTGTTGCCTCTAATTCAAACAGGTGAAGGAGTTACAAAAAGGAGCTGAAGAGGAAAATAATTTTTAAGGTCTCACCATTGTTTTACACCAGAGGCATTTCCAGTCTTGCAGACGGAGAACACTGCCACATGTTTTGTCACAGACAACACATTTGGCGCTCACAGGCAAGTTGCCCTCGAGCCATTGGTGAGGCATGGCTACCTGTGCAGCAGGAAGAAAGGGCAGTCACACAGAGGACGGGAAGGACATCATTCCTGTCCCAGGGGAGACACAGCATTATTTCTTTCTCTGTGAATTTGATACCATGCAGGATTCATGGCGTCTACTTATTTACTCCACATTTATTGAGCATCTGTTATGCCCCAAGCATTGCAGTGATAGAAAGATAAGTCAGACTAAATCCCTGCCCTTCAGGACTTGTAGTCTAGCTGAAATGAAAAGCATGCAAAGGGATGTCCTCATTTGTTAGATAAGGGCTGCTGTTACAACACCAGCCCAGCAACATAACCACTCCTAATCCCTACTCACATTTCCTGAAAAATTTAAGAGCTGAAGAAAGTTATGAAGGGTTGACTAAAACTAAAAATTCAAAATTAACCAAAGCCTTCCTAATAATATTAGTCCTAATAATGTGCCCTCCCACTTTACTATGATTAGTCACAAGATCAGAAAATAAAACAAGAAGTGGTGCTAAAAAGAGGGCAGAGACAGAACAGGGCTTACTCCATCTTCATCCTCTATGATGTCCTTGCCGACAGAGGCCAGAGTGGTCCACTTACAGTTATTGGTTGCCCTCACTGCACACCTTTTGTGAGCCTTGAATTTACACACTGAAGAAAAAAAAAAAACAGTCAACCATTTCTAAATGAACATGTACTCAATGATTAAAGAAGCACATAAAATTTAAAAGGGAGGGAGCAGAAGGAAAACAATATTTTTAAAACTTTTAGTTACTTTTTAGTAATAGTAATGATATTCTAAAAAGCTAACATAGCATGTATTTACGCACTTTTATCCAGTACTTTAAAATATTTTATTTATGAAAGAACAGAAAGGAAATAAATACAAAAAAAAAAAGAATTCTTGAGAAGTGAGATAAAATACACACAAACAAAACAAAGAAAAATAAAATCCAGTAATGCACAAGAGCTGTTAACATCTTATTTCTTAATTAAATGATTACATTTCTGTATGTGCAATATACTTGGAATTTTTGAAAACATCAGAAGATAAACAATAGGATAATGTAGGAGTTTTAAAGTACAATTTTTTCTAGTTTCACTACCACAAAGGATCCTATGAAACAGATAAGAGGGAACCGGCAAATAAACTGTAGCGCCTATATGAAAAATGAATAAATCACAGATTGTTAAAAAATTAATCCCTGCTTATGAATATAAGAACTTCACTACTACTAAACACAATTACCTGTGTGTTTAATAATGACAGTAATCATCTACGCATTACTGGGTACTGATGTTATGCCAGCTTCTGACTTTTCAGATATTTTTAAAAAAAGTGGACATACAAGAGAAGAGTAACAAAATTCCAAATCTAAGGTGGCTTCTTTTTAGGTGACTGTTATATTTCTACCAGTAAACTGAAATCTGAAGTAATAACTTAAACACCATTCTTTTTGGATTATCCTAATTTTTATGTAACATGCAAAATAACTATTTTCATGACACTACTATTGACTATAGGTTCAAAATGCTTTGGGTGTCATGAAAATAGTTCATATATAGATACCACTAAACTGAGCTGGGATTTCCTTAGAAAGATTAGTATATACACACTGGAAATGTTTCATTTACCTGCTCTATTACAAGTACTGAGGCCTTCAAAACATCACATAATGCAGACTTGGGAGCACTTCCTCAGAGCAATAGGAACCCTTTCAGATTACTAAAGTCATATTGGCCAATCACATCTTTGTTTACAATTATTCTCTAAATCTAAAAAAAAAAGTTTAATGCCTCATCCAGATTTTCATTTTCAGGAAATTTACTGCAGCAAGCCATGATGCAGTCTGTAATCCTTCCTTTGATAAATCTCTTACAGAACAGTTGCAAACTTGTATATATTTTTTTTTACTAAAAAAGTAGTGTTTATTCACATATCTTTTGCAGCAACATGGATGGAACTGGAGAAGATCATGCTTAGTGAAATAAGCCAGAAAGAAAAGAAAAATACCGTATAGTTTCTCTCATAGCAGGAGTATAGTGGACCAGATGAGAAAATAATAATAATGAACAGCTATAAACCAGAGACATTTTATGGGGGTGGAGTAGGGAATGGGATCAAAAACAGTGGGTGAGGGAAATGCACTGGACCATGGTAATGGTGCAGGGTGATTTGGTGATGGGAAGCCCACGGGGATTACAACTGAGATGAGAAAATGCACAAAATGATATACAAATAAACTATTATATATGATTCTAAAAAGCAGTGTTTATTGTATTCTCTTAATTTTCATAATTTATTTAATTCCCAATATGCTCACTGAACAAGTGAAGAAACATAAACCTAAGAATTTAACTACTTCTCCTGGCCAGAATCTGCAATGTTCAAAAAGGAAACAGGAACCAGTGGGATTAACTGTAGAGCTCTTGTTTCAACAACTATGCTATATCAGATTAACAGTCAAAATAATAATATATTTCAGATTTCATAATTTGAAAGTGAATTAAAACTGTGACATAAAACTGTATTACTACTTTATCACCTAATGATACAAAAGTTATATATATATATATATATATATATATAT